AAAAAAAAGTATTTTGATCATGATTTTTGTCATATATTGACACATTTATTACAAAATGTTTTATACTTTATGAAGGGCTAGAATATTGAAAGCCAAGTTGGCTCAATTATGTATGCAGTCCTTACTTAAAGTATTGGGAAAATTTTATGCCAAAGTATATATTCTTCACTAATTAATTTAGAGATAATGACCCCATGATATCAATTTGACACAGCTGTTTAATTTTAATTATTGTTTAAATGTGACCCAATTAAAGGGTTTAGAGTTGGGAAGTTCGACTCTACCGTTAACTACAATTAGTATGTTTTTCACCGTTAGATTAATACACACACATATCCACACGCGTGTGTGTCTGTGTGTGTCGATTCAACGTGAAAAACCTGAAGACTACTTTAAAAAAAAAATATCATATTAATAGTAATAACAATAATATTACATTTTTTTACTTCATTATTATGGCTTTAGAAGGGATTTCACATAGGAGTTAGGACACCCTTATGTCATTTTTATATGGAGTTTTATTTCTTTTCCTCACTTCATTCCAAATAAATATTTTGATGCCTGTGCTTTACCTAACAATGATCTAATATATATGCTTTATTAATCATATATCATTATCTGTCTCTTTCTTGTGATTAGAAAAATAATTGTGTGACTATGACATGCTTAATCATAGGGTAATGGCCCAATCCTTTCATTCAATCCCACACAATTATTCATAAAATATAGTATTTTCAAACTGGGTTTCATGTTTATTTGGCATAAATAGTTCTATTTTAATTTGGTTTCATTTATTCACACATTTTCAATAGTTTTTACACCAAAGAATGATTAATTATATGTATATATATATGTATATATATATTTAATAATTCTTGTTAATTTGACAGGTTTTGGAGGTAATCAAAGGGGAAGAGGAAATAGACAGAGGAAAATGGAAGATGCCCGAAGAAGAAGAAGAAGACGACGAAGATAATTTTTGGGGCTTTGAGGATCTTGATGAATATGGTGATACTTGTTCTTTCTCAAATTCTCCAAATGGCTCAATTTCAACTGGGACTTGTTCTTATAACCCTCAGAGCATGATCAACTCAACCCTGGTAGTAAATTGATATATAGACCACATGTAAATAAAATTATTTAATAGTTTGATGATGATAATATTAAATTTCTTTTCCCCCCAAGTTGGGTCTAGTAATGTAGCTACCTTGATTATAAAAGCCTTCTTTGCAAATTTTGGTATAGGGAGATTCTACGGTCCCGTTACGGAACCATTCTGTCGGGGTTTGTAACCATTAAATCAACTATCTACGACGATTACATGATGATCTAACGGTTACAAATCTTGACGTAATGATTCCGCAACAGTATTGTGTGAGTATGACATGCTTATGGACAGGGGCAAATGATTTATGGGATGTTTTTCAGACAGTGCCAACGATTTCCAGCACGAAAAATGTGAACTATGTCGGGCAAAACATTGAACTCTCTAAAACATGATAAGAATATTTCTGACACCAAAACTTAATGCTAATGTAATTTATTGGCTGTGACTATATATACTACGTACTATAATTATTAAAAATATCGGCCTATTATATATATATATATTTTTTATTATAAAAATTATAATTATTAAAATCATGCTTTTCTTTTTATATAATATGTTATTTTATTTATTTATTTATTTTTTTTTTCATTGTCTAAAATTTTCAAATTAACATTTTTGTACCAGTTGCATTCGCACGTGAACGTAAACCCACCATAATAATCTTTTTTTTTTCTTGGTACAGAGACCTTCTGGTTTCTGGATCCACAGGGGAACCGACTAATCCGGAATCGAGCCGGGTAGGACCACAAGGGCGGCAAAGCTCTCCCTCAAGAGTTTTTAACACTGCTGCATTCCCAGGGCTCGAACACGAGACCACTGGTTAAGCTGGAAGAGATCCAAATCATCTTATCCAAGCGCTCTTGGGTTCACCATAATAATCTTTTATTAAACACCTATCTATTCAAGTTCTGAAACACAAGTTACACGTCGTAGTAAGTGATACAATTAATGAAGAAGATAAGGACTTTTAACGGCCACGATTAATGGTCCTAATTAATGGAGCTTCACAATTACGATCGCTAACTCAGAGTTACTAACTTTAAACACAGAGTATTATAAGTGCATATAATTGATATTATAAGTTAGATAATGTGTTTTAAAATTTGATCGTTGGTTAAAATAAATAGTACATAACTATTCGATTGCATATGAATCAGTAACTGATTACATAAAATGTAATACATAATGTAATGTTATTACTTTGAGGGATCATGGTCAATTAATTAGCTGAAAAATGTTATATTTTTTTATTACAATTGCTTATGAAATTTTAAGGGATTTCACTATAACTTTAAAACAAATTTAGACTATTTAAAAACAATCTTTTAATAAGATAAAAAAATAAAATATTGATTCTAGAATAATTAACTTGAACAAAAAGTTTTATAAAATATTTTTTATGTTAATGTAAATTTCATATAGCATTTAGTATGAAATATAATTATTAATTTTAATAATAACTATTATCTGATACAATCAAAGTATAAGTATTATTCAACTAATATAAAATGTAGAAGTTTTTGTCTCAATTAACCCAACAAAAAGTGCGAAAAAAATATTTTATCATTAATGAGATAAGGTAGATTAATGTAAAAAAAAATAATAGTAATAATAATAATAATATTGGATTGTAACGAAGAAAGGGTGGAAACAACAAATGGTTTTATTAAATATTTTGTTAGTAATTATATTTATATATATATATATATATATATATATATATATATATATATATATATATGAGAGCGTGAGAGAGATAATAAATTGAATTGTAACGGTTTTTGGCGAGAAACTATATGGGTTTTATTAAATATATTTTATTAAATGATCTGCCAGTAATTATATATATATATATATAAATAATTTTTTTAATAAAAATACCAATTTGAACTAAACTAATTTTCGCAATATAAGATCCACATTTGATAATTTCATTTCTATAATCATGCATTGGAGTAACCACACAAGGAAGTATACTATGCACAATAATATGTATATGTGCTATGCTTTCATAGCACGGCTACTATTCCTCTTTTCATTTATTTTTTTCGACTTTAGTCATTGTCACTGAAACTTTGCGGGTGTTCTTATAAAGAACTTTATTATTAATTTTGATCAAATGTTTAATTTTGCCGACCTTTAATATTTAAAAAAAAATAATATTTAGGTTGATAATAAGTAATATTTTTTTTTTTATTATTCGTGACATTTTCTATTTGTCTTAGGTCGGCAATATTCAATAATTTAATTCGAGTTCAAATAATAATTTAGTCATTCATTAGTGTGATTTTTCACCCATTTTTTAAGCTACACGCGTCGCTCTTTCATGGGACGTCTTAGCTAGTGCGGTTAACAAATACTATAAACTAGCACGACGCCCTTATATTACACGGGTGCTTGTAATTTTTTTCTTAAAATATAAAATTAATAGAAAAAAATAGTTGAAATTTTTAATACCTTTTACAAAAATATATATTATTATATATTTAGTATGACAGTTTTTATTTGTGCGACTTACCTGTGTTATATTATAATAATTTTTCAACTTACAATATATAACTACATTAAACATAAATATATCAACTGATAAATAATTTTTTTTCTAATGAATTTTAATAAATATTATTATTTTTTATTATTATAAAGATAAATATAATTTATTTATTTCACATATACAATATGGATGTTAAATCGCATATAATTGAAGGAAGCAAATCAAAGTCAAGGATATATATTAGTCACTTAGTGCTTCACTGTGTAAAATTACAAAGAATTAAAGAGTTATATTAGTACAAGTGATATTAAAATACCTAAGTTAGATAAATAATATTTATGGAATATCCGAACCTATATTATTAATTATTAGTATATCAATATTATTTGTTCAAACCTAATTACGAAGCATGATTCTTTGTCAAGCAGAATTCCGAAACACCAGAAATAGCCACGTAGACTCAACGCATTCGGGAATTATATATAGGGAGGATTATTATGCTTTTACCTCCCAATTAATTAAGATTAATTAACTGAATAATTAAAACCTACTTTTATATAATTGCATGTAATTAAAACCTATCAGGAACAAACCCTTTAAAAATTTAAGGATGAAAATGATTAGCTCTCTTATAATGCACCAAATGCCACCCAAATGGCAAAGGCAAATTAATTACAAGAGTTGGTTGAACTTTGCATGCCACCTTGAAGGAGAAAAAGGGAAGAAATTAGGTCATCTAAACCACAATTAATATCACCTGCTATAATAAAAACTACTCCCTCCTATTTTTTTTAAATGTCATTCTAGCTTTATCAACTATTTGCTAAATAAATATCGTTTTGAATCTTTTGTACATATTTTTCCATTATTACCCTCATTTAGCCAATTAATATATTACGTCTTTTCATATTCACTCTTCATTTTTTTCTCAAAACATTCATCTCTATCTTCATTAAATAAGGTTATTGTTGATAAAAAAAAATATTCTTAATTAGTGTGCAACTTCTCAAAACGACATATATTAAAAATAGGAGGTAGTACTATCTTTTATATTTTTCTCCATTACAAAGGTTGAGTTTTGATTTGGTAAATTGGTTGTTTGACATAATGACATCCCATTTTGAGCAATTAAAATCATTATATTGGGATATTCTTAGAAGTGGGCCCTATTAAATCTAATCGATAGGATTTTCGTTAGGTTGTCTAATGGTTAGTCAGTCATACTCTTCCAACATATTTTTGTTAGATGGTCCGATAACTTTTGTTCTTGCCCTAACTCTGCTAGTTCGAGTATCTTACTAGCGTGGATTCGAATTATTCGAGCTCGTTATGTAGATCGATTCAACAGTCGAGTCGAGAGTCCTATCGTATTAATTTGGAGCTGTTAGGTGGTGTCACATTCTACAATATTCACTAGTGATTTTGAGATGCAATTTCAAGATTTATGTAATGATGAACTGTTCATAATTAAAAATGGTCTAATTTAACTTCCCACAACTTAATCAAACCGTTCGTGCCTTAGAAGCTGAGGCAAAAAGATAGCTACATGATTACAGTAAATTCTATCACTAAATTTAAAAAAAAAAAATTTGTACCAAAATAAATAAATAAATAAATAAAAAGTGAGAAAGAGAATGAAACTACCCTTATGATTACAATTGGTTATTGCATAATTGTGAAAAA